GTAACTATAGAGGCGAATGTTTTTTACACTGAATACTCCAAAGTATTTCTGAAAGAAATTAAAGAAGATGCAAAGAAATAGAAATAAATCCCATGTTTACTAATTAGAAGAACTTAATATTGTGAAGATGCCCATATTACTCAAAGAAATTTACAAATTCAATGCACTCCTTATAAAAATCTCATTTTTTTTTACAGAAATAACAAAATCCATTCTAAAATTCATATGAAATCTCAAGGACTCTGAATAGTCAAAACAATTTTGAAAATAAAGAAGAAATTTAAAGGAATCGTACTTCCTGATTCCAACATATTACAAAGCTACAATAATCAAAACAATGTGGTCCTGGCGTAAAGACAACAAACAGACCAATGGAATAAACTAGAGAGCTTAGAAATAAACCCTCACTTATCTGGACAAATGATACTTGAGAAGGGCGTCAAGATGACTAAACAGAAAAAGGATAATCTTTTCAACAAATGATGTCAGAAAACTGGATATTCACATGCAAAAGAATGATGTTGGACCCTTATCTTACACCATACACACACAAAGAAAAAACTCAACATGAACTAAAGATGTAAAACTATAAAACTCCTGGATGAAAACATAAGGGGGAAGTTTCATGACATTAAACTTGTTAATAATTTCTTGGCTATGACACTAAAAGAACATGTAACAAAAGTGAAAATAGACAAATGTGAAGACATTGATTAAAAACTTTTGTGCATTAAAGCATATAATCAACAAAATGAAAAGGCAGCACATGGAATGGGAAAAAATAAATATTTGCAAGTCATATATTTGATCAGAATATTTAAAAAACTACAACTCAACTAGAGAAAATTAAATAATCTAATTTAAAACTTGGGAAAAGATTTAAATAGACATACAAATAGCAAACAAACATATGAAGGAATGATCAACATTCTCATTAATCACTGAAAAGAGCAAATCAAACCCACAATGAAATATCACTCCATGCTCATTAGGATGCCTACTATTAAAAAAAAAAAAAAAGCAACAAAAACCAACCAAACAACAACAACAAAAAAAAACCAAAGAAACAGTCCAAAACAGAAAATAAATCTTGGTGAGGGTGTTGAGAAATTGGAGCTCTTAGGCACTCTTCATAGCATTGTAAAATGGTGCTATAACTGTGGAAAACAATATGGAGGTTCCTCAAATTCTTAAAAGTAGAACTTTCATGTGATCCAGCAAACCCATTTTTGGGTACTTTTTCAAAATAACTGAAAGCAGGGACCTGAAGAAATATTTGCAAACCTAAGTTCATTGCAGCACTATTCACAATAGCCAGTAAAAAGAAAGGAAATCTTTTCACATGCTACAACATGGATGAACCTTGAGGACATTATAGTAAGGAAATAAGCAAGTTAAAAAACATAAAAGATATTGTACGATTCCACTTATATAGGTATCTAGAATAGTCAAATCCATAGAAACAGAAAGTAGAATGGTGGTTACCAGGGCTTCAGGGAGGGAAAAAGAGGAGTTATTGGATGGTTATAAATTTTCAAATTTGCAAGATGAAAAATTCTGGAGATCTATTTCATAGCAATGTGAATATATTTAACATTACTGAATGTACACTTGAGAAATGGTTAAGATGGTAAGGTTTTACGTTCTGTGTTTGAATTGAAAAAAGAATTATACAATTCTACAAATATGTTTTCATATTGTAATATTCCCTTTCAATAACTGATAAAAATAGATAGAAAATCAGTATGAATATAGAAGACCTGAACAATTATATCAATCAAATACTTGACACTTACAGAACACTCCTGTCAACACAGGCAGAATTTATAATATTCTCAAGTTCATCTGTAGTATTTACCAAGATAGATCATGTTATGGTCCTTTGGGATGAGGGATTCAGGATCAGGAAGGTACCAGAGGGAGGATTTACAATACAGCACATGAGAAAACTTTTGGGGGTAATGGAAATGTTCATTATCTTGATTGGAATAATAGTTTTAAGGGAGTAAGCATCTGTCAAAATTTATTAAATAGTACATTTTAAACATGTAAAATTAAGTTTGTGTTTATTTTTCCTCAATAAAGCAGTTAACAAAAAGATGATTTTAACTACTTTTATGGCAATAATTTGGACTCTGGATTCATAAACAATTACCAGAATTATGGCTTGAAAATATCATTTTAGTATACGATAGAATGAAAAAAGATAGTAAATGCTGCAAGATGTGTACCGATAAAGAATTTGTAATTCTTTCTACATAACTGGAATTTAAATTTTACAAAATATTTGGTGTAAGAGTCATAACCCAATGATCTTTTAAAGACATTTATATTCTTACTCATTCTCATGTGCTCATCAAATATTTAATTATATATGTGCTCTCTGAAAGGATGTGTGTATATCATGTTTAAAAAATCAGATATAAATTGTGTCTTCATGCCTTCATAGAAAAGAGTGCTACACAAGATAAGTAAATTAACTAATTTATTTCAAGTGCTTAAAATATATAACACAGAGCTTGATACATAGCAGCATGTATTCAATAATAGCAGCACACAAATAAGGAAGAGAGTGATAACACAGAAGATCAATCCAGTATCATGGGGAATTTAGAAAAGGAAAACATTTCTCTCTCTCTCTCTCCTCAATATGTGTGTATGTATGGTGTGTATGGGAGGGGTATGTTTGAGAAAACTGAGTATACAGAGATGCTTCATGAATTGGATAACTTTGAAAAATTATTGAAGGTTGTCCTGCAGCACAGGACTATAGGTCACATGAAGATAAAGTCAGATAAATAGATGGGAAGAAGATGAAAATGTATTTAGACTTAGACTTCATATTTTTCTTCTTCTTTAAATATTATTCATTCCCCTCTCCTCTTCAATGCGACTTTTGTTAATAGGACACAAAATGTATTGAAAATAAGTAATTAAAATGCCAGTCTTATGGCCTACACCAGAAATGGAGGTTTTGAAGTTAATTATATACATATGAAATAAGTATATATATGAAAAAATATATATAAAATGGCCACATGCTCTTTAAAAGAAAGAAGAAATTACAGACACAACATAAAAAGTTCCCCATACTGGGTTTTCTCATGCCTGCCATGGCTTCTCCCTGTCATCTGTGTAGTCATTGTCCCACTTTGCTGACCTCAGTTCATGAGGCCATTTATTCCGTACAGTTTTTATCTAGAAACTGTAGATGATAGGAAGAGATTCACATTACTCTGGGAGTTTGGCTCAGGAGTTAGCTTGGGTTTAAGGTTACATATACATTTTTTAATTTGCAGGTAATTATAGACCTACTACTGTGTGCAAAGCCCTTTTCTAGGCACTAGATGGAAAATGCCAAAATACTATATAATATTCTTCCTATCAAAGAAGACTGCAATAAACAAAATGGATGATGGAGATAATAGATTTCCTACATCAAAGTAGTGAAGTACAGTAGACGGGGAAAGAAGTACTCAGTCTAGAAGAGGCTCATCTCAAGGCCTGGCAACTGTGGCTATTAAAATTCCTTGTGCATGTCCCTAGATGCACTGTCTAGATTATATGTACGTATGTAGCAGAAATGGCCTCATTGAGAGGCCATCTGAACACCCTCCTCCCACTTCCTTACTTATTTCTTCTGAAGTGGAAACAAGCTACTCCAAACCACATTTCTTCTTCCATTGGTTCTATCCATCAATTTTTGTAATTTTAATTTTCCTGTGTTTTCGAAATTCTTTCATCATTCTCCAATTTTATAATGTTTTCTTTAGCCAAATATACACAACCATAGAGTACTGAGGAGTAAAGCAAAGGAGAACAATGTCACATACCTTTCAAATTCATCCACACCTTCGCCTGCATATTTCCAGATTTTAATACCACCATGTGACCTTCTTATGTAGAAGCACCCAGTTACTCTCCATTACAAACCCTAAGTCTTTAGCTCATTAATACCTTTCCAGCCTTCTTTCCCATAACCTTCATTGTACTACTTATTGCAGCCATACTGCATTCCAGAAACTTCCAGAAATGTACCAGGCTCACCCACACTTTTGCTCATGCAGGTACCTCACTTCGGCATGCTCTCACCTCCCTTTCCTAGCAGGTTCACTCGTGTCACACTTCAAGACTTGTCCATCTTGGGCCAGCAAATTTGGAGAATTTCTCCCCTCCCTCCAATATGCGATGTTATTTATATGTGCTACCCTATTAAACTTCAAGGTTATAACTTACATTAGCATCTGTGCCTGGCACATAGCAGGCATTCAATAAGTATTGCACTGAAGTAAAATAAATACTGTTTTGATAATCAAGCACAAAGCAGAGTTTTTAAAAGCTAAATAATTTAATGCAATCATCTGTGTCATACGTAGTAGTAAAATTTTTTTCTAAAAGAAATTGATTGTTACCATGTAACCTCAGGTATACAGTTCAAGTAGCCACCGTAAGATCACAAAGGTAATATTCTAAGTATTCCCCAAGAAATATTTTGGCTTACTGGAGAAGCAAATGTTCTTTCTAAGACCACAATGGAAAAAGAGGTAATTCCAGATGCTTGGGGGATCCCCTCCCATGCCCAGGGAAATGCATCATCTGTAGAAAGAAAGGATGGTTTTATGGTGGTACCAGTATCAGGCTGCTTGAGTATTAACCATATGCTCTCAGTTGAGTTATTTAGACTTTTTAAACCTCAGATTCCATGACTATAACGTGAGAGGAATAATAATACACAAAACAATAAGCTGTTGAATAGATTAAATAAAATGACTTATATAAAGCAATTAACACAGTCCTAGTACATTATAAAATTTTAAAACAAAATGTTAATTCCTGTTTTTATAAAAGGGTTGGTTCTACACAATTTAGCAATCAGTGGACCCTTCCCAGCTCCCCAGAAACTGGATATTATGTGTCCCACAAAATCCAGTATCAACAGGGCATAGAGTCAGAGTCCACTGTGAGGTCATAGTTATGTGTTCACTGTAGTGAAATATGTTTTATACCTTAGTTCTTAGAGATGGGTCTTCTTTGCATTTTATCCTATAGAGTGATAATAAACCGCATGCTGGAGAGGTCTGGAAAATCATGTTTTTCCATATCTAGCCCTTTACAGATCTGATAATTTGAGTACTTGACATCCTTTATCTTTTCACATATCTATCCCTACAATAATAAAATATGGGATTAAAGTGGCTCTTATCTCTAGTGGGAGAGTGGATATATTTTATATGCCAGTTCTTTAAAAGGGAAACTCTTTCAGAGCTTCACAAAATATCACTGAAGAGTTAAAGGAATGTTTAGGAAGAACATGTCTGAATATTACCTATTAGAATTACAATTTTACTGCTTTAAAGTAATTATAATTTTCATTGCAGGATCTATTAAAAAGGCTTTTACCTGACAGTAATTTTTCTTGTACTTACAGGTCATTATTACAATCAAGGGAAGAAAGGAAGGCATGAAGGGGAAATGGGACTGTTTACCAAGTGTATCTGCAGAGACGAAAGGAGACAAGAGGAAGTGCTGAGTACCTTAATTCCTACAGAGAATACATCATTTCAAAGGCATAAGAATTCTGCTCTGGCTTCTAAGAAGCTTACGTATTCAAAGGGTGAGTGGTTAACATGATTTTACTTGATACTGATATTTCCTTATTAGATCATTTCATTTCAAATCCAGTCTTAATTTTTACTTAACATTCTGGGTAGATAACTATTTTTATAGTGTCATTTAGTCATCAAGAATGGAGATTTACATTCCTTTGTATTCTTATATTTATATAAACAAATGGGCACCTCCAAATACCAGATACTGTATAAGGTTATTAAATTGATATATTACTAATGAATATCCTCATGATAAACATTTGAATATGTATAAATATTCCCATTTATACATAGGAAGAGAGATTTGAAATTAGCAACCTTTCCAAAGTTGCTTGAATATTTATAAAAGAGGTAAACTTAATGGCAGATATATCTTACTCCAAAAGCCAATGTTTTCCCCTGCCATAAATGCTGCACATTCACAGAGATGAAAATTCTCTACATTTTTAAAATAAACAAATCATCCTAACTTAGTTTTAAAAGACTTCCAGAGATCCACCCAGACCAAATGACCAAACATAGTCAGAGGTGTTTGCTTGTTTATTGTGGTCTTAAAGGAATCTTCAAACTACCCTAGAGCCTTGTGTATCCAGTGAATGCAGTCTGGGTGTTGAATGAATGGTGTTATAAGTGAATGAGCAAGGGAGTAAGAGTAGGAACAAGTTTGAGACTAAATAATATATTTGGCTTCTAAAGTATAAAAGGGGAGGGTAACTTCCTGGAGACATTTAGGTACAATGTACTTCATATTCAGGAGGTTTTACATCTTTGTGTCATGGAATAAGCTATTATATAAAAGAAATACTATATCAGCAGCAAGTGTTTCTAATATAAGGAAATAGCCATAGTTTCTGAAATTATGTCTAGTATCACTGTTAACTAACAAGGTCATCCTTTTTCCATGTATTTCTCCAAAAGGAAATGTAGTGGACAAAATAAATATGGGGCCACTTCACGTGTAGTCATTAATGTTTGAAAGACAGGTACTCTAATTGATGAATAATCTAAAGTATCATTTTGGCTATTTGTTTGAGCTATCTCATGTTTTATTTTTTATGTTTTATTTTTTATGTTTTATTTTTTAAAAACAAGGCTCCCCAAAGCAGGAAACTTAGTACCTTTCCTCCATCATTATGTAGGTGCTGATACTGACCCCACCAAAATTAGACGTGAAAGAAAGACACAACGTAGAGGCAGTGTGTAACTTGCATAAACAGCCTCCCAGTTATCTAGAACTAGCTGTAAAACTCTACTGTTGTTAGTAAGTAAGCTTCATTTGTAAAAACTAAGGACAAAAGTCCTTCATTTGCTTAGCAAGTTGTATGCATTGCATAGAGTTATTCTTAAAAGAGACTCTAGAATTTCAGTTGAAAATGTTTTTTGAAGTAACTCAATATTGACTAGGGAAGCCAGAGTAAGTAAACCACAACATGAAAATCTGGAAGACAGTCTCCAATTTATGTTTTCTGCATATGACTTACTTTAATGAGGAAATAACAATCATAAAATTAGCTTTTATCTAATGGTCTAGAACTTGGTTATGAAAAGTGTTACTGAAGACAAAGGAAACATTACCTCATGCTGGTGGCTGGGAGCCTCATGGGAACCGAAATGACCCAGGGCTGAGCAGCTGGTAACCGAAACCCATCTTGTCAATGTCAACTGTAGTCCCTCTTCCCAATTCGCCAGAGAAAACATGGCCACACTTTGCTTACAGTGTCTGGTGTCGGAATGACCACACTATTGGCTCGAGTCCCTTCAGGATTGTGGAGAGAAAGCCAAGGCACACAAGCAGGAGGCCCACCCTGTCAGCTGTGGGGCAGCAGGAGTTGAAGAATGCTGAAATTATGAGTCATAGCTTTGAAGTATTCAGAAACAAAAATAGGACAAAATAATTTTTTTTTAATTATTAAAAGAAGAAACTGAAATTATGCTTCCCTACATTTTAGTTTTGAATGTGTGGAGATCAGGGAAAAAAATTGTGAGTTTTACCTTTTAAACGTTGGGAAAAGACCAGTAAAAGCTCTCTTAGTAAGTTATCTTTAAGACTAATTTCCTCAAAAAGGGAAAACAACTCACAATACTATATAAACAAACAGATAATAAATGCTAGTGTAAATAAGATTAAGGGAGGACAAAGATAAAGGAAATTAGGACATATCAAAAAAAGAAATAGATGAGCAGTTTCCAGAGTCTGAATACACAAACAGGCACATCAAAAAGTGTTCATGAGAACCTGGGTCAATGAATGGAAAGACTTTAACTTAGAAACATTACTTGACATTGCAGAAAATATCCACAAAGAAAAATCTGGTCGCCTGCAAAAGATAGGAGTCAGAGCTCCATCAAAATTCTTCTTAGAAGAGAAGGGCACTTCACTTCTACAACTTTCTTCCCACAAAACCGTAACCCACATCTCATCATGAGTAAACATTGTCCAAGACAAAATAAGAATATTTTACAAAATGCCTGATCAGTGCTCCTCAAAAATGTCAGTCATGAAAAACAAAGTAAAACCAAGGAACTGTCTGTCACAGGTTGGAGGGGACCAACGAGCAGTAAAGATTAGATGCAATGGGGTACACTGTATAGGATCTTGGAACAGAGAAAAAAAACCAAAACATTGGTGGAGCAACTAACAAAACTCAAATCAAGTCTGCATTTTAGTTCATCATGTGATGCTGATGTTAACTTCTTAGCTGTGGCAAATGGAACATGACTACGTAACATGCTAACATTAGGAAAAGTTGAAGAAAGGTATACAGGAATACTTTGTACTATCTGAGAGACTATTTTGTTAGTCTAATATTATTTCAACATGAAATTTTAAAATTTATATTAAATTTTATCAGAAACCATGAATGCTAGAAGACAATGGAGGAATACCTTTGAAATTCTAGAAAGAAACTGATTTTCAATGTATTATCACAGTTTCAATCAAGTGTGAGGCTCAAATTGTGATAGTTTTACAATATGGAAAACTTAAAATTTACCTTACACCAACATTTTCTTAGATAATTACTTTAGGATGTGCTATAACTAAACAGAGGCACGAACTGAGAAAAAGTATGGTATGCAATATAAAAAAATTAGAAACAACTTAGAAAAAGAGTGAAGGGAAGTCCTATGTAATAGCAGCATAGGAATCTATTGGTATTGGAGTAGAAGATAAAGTCTCTCAGAAATATTGCCTCTGGAAAAAATAAATACAGGAAGACATTCTAATAAGCTACCTGATCAGATAGAGATGTGACAAATCAACACTTATGATAAAAGACAATATTGGAAAGAGAGAAAGGATAGAGAAAGAGGGAGGAAGGGAAAGAGAAAGGAAAAAAGAAAGTGAAAAGCAATGAGAAATTCCAAGAAAACCAACAGACTGTATAAAAATGAAAACACTATATGATCATTGTTACCTTCTTGACTCTTTCAAGCACTATGTGTACTTAGCAACCACACTGAAATCACTATCAACTGATTTTGAGTAAACTGGCATTGGAAGTGTGGTGAGTCCTCTGAAGTGACAAGTGCCAGGTCCTAAGAGGGGTCTGAGCCTAGACTTGAAGAATCAAGAAGAGCTCCAACAGAAGTGATATGTAAGCAGAAACCAGAAGACTGACTAGGATGAAAAAAGGATGTTGCCATGGAGAGGATTTCAATCAGAAGAGACAACATTTGAGGAGATTCAGGAATAAAACATCTCATGTTTCAGGTACTGAAATAATTTGAGACCAATGGGAGTGTGGGGAAGTATTGAATAGACAAGAAGTACAGTTGGAGAGGTAAGGACTATATTATGACATTACATGAATTTCTAAAGTTTTGAACCTTATTTTAAAACTAATAACAGAGTGGTTTTAGCAGGAGAGTTTCAGTTATTATATAACTTTCAGAAACATTATTATTTAATACTTTTAATGCAGTGTAGACAGTGATTGGAATTGAGAAAGAAGGATGGTAGAGAGGAGAGTAATTACTTTAACGAGAAATACTTTGGCCTAGATTAGAATAGGGCCAGCAAGAAAGACAGAAGTGCAAAGATATAAGGAGTCCTTAGGGTGAAACACAGGTAAAACTATTATTATTGGAACCTGGAGAATGGAAAAATGGAGTAGTAGGGAAGAACTGAGTTGCTTTGTAGACGGAGGCACCAATCACTCAACTCCGACAGCATAGGCTAGCTGTGGTGTTTGGGGGAGTAGGGTGAGAGAAGCTACTGACCCCCCTTGTGGATGTCTAGGACATCCAAGATAAGATTAGACAACGGGATATATGATGTCAAGCTCAAACTAGAGACATGGGCTGGATAAACACTTAGATAGCATCTGATAATGATTAGTGATTGAAGTCTTAGCAATGAATATTACGTCAATATTGTTTTGAGGGTCATACCCTTCTATGACTATCTGATGTTTATTTTTATGGGATAAAACAACTAGTAGTTCAGAAGGTTCTATAGACAAAATTCAGCTACAAATACTCATCATTTCTCTTTCATGTACAAACTATGCATTAAACAACCCACAGTGTGTGGGAAAACATAGGTAAATAATCAAAAGTGCCTGCTGATAGAGAAGAGCCACATAACGAACTCCATCGTAATACAAGGAGTTAAAATCTCCAACATAGGGATGTGATGTGCTCTGTGGGAATATGGAGAAACAAGGAAAAGGCAAATCTATACACTATTATTCCAGTTGGTTATTATTTCATACTGAGACAAATTTGCAAGTGTAAGCTGTTATATATTCTGTTACAAATTTAGATGCTTTTGGCCTTGGGTCATCTTTACAACACCTATACTGAAGTTGTATTTAACCTACCAGTTCAAAACATTTGGTTCACAAAAATGTTTAACCTACCAACAGGAAATACCATATGTCTTGGGAGAACTGGCTCATTAGTTGATGCGCTCCCTATCTGTTGTTTGGGGGGAATATCCAGGTAAAGTGATGTGAAGTGCAGAGCCTGGGGTGGAAGTCGAGGAAGGGCTTTCTTCCATGGA